GGGGGGGGAACTATTAAAATTATCGAGTATTAATCAAATTCTTTGCGCAACATTTGCAATAAATTGCTATGAAAATTCAATACCTGTATTAGGATTTTGAAGATCTCACGGTGGCGAGCGTAAAGATGGCGTCTTCTGGGTTGTAGCACTGTGCAATCTGGTTGAAATTCACCAACGTTTCTAAGGTACTTGCTGCCTCCATCATCAGGGCGATTGTCTGCACATCTTGGTACGGCGTAAGTTGATAAGAGAGCGTGTGGCTATAGGTCTCGGAAGGTGAAACACCCCTAATAATTTAAATAATGATGCCGAACATATCAGTGACATATTTCTGGTACTGCACAGAGTGAACTTAACGAATCTTAGACGCGTGTCTCGGCTCCACCCACACACCTGAAACTTTGCTCACCTTGTCAAAAGCTCAGGTTGAAGCAAGTATCAGGCGATGAGGAGAACTCTTGTACACCAAAGATTTTTTATTTTATTTTATAAAGTATAAAAACAGACCTGAATTACGACTAATGTCGCCAGTGACTGTAAATTAATGAAGCTGCATATCGTCACAATAACAGATGCCCATGGATCATTACAAAACTCATCACCCCCCATTACATTTTAAAATATACGTAAAATACTTAAAAAATTTATTATGTCAAACACAACGACCCAGAAAATTCATATTTCAAGTTCTTTATAAACTACAGCTTATTTATCTTGAATAACTAAAACCATCTTTTAATACGGTTCGAAGGGACCAGAATCCTTTTCCTTTACCAACAGATTTATAATTAACACAGGTACTTACCTGTAATTAAAAATAACGCTTATGGCGTAGCCACTCCGTTTGTATAATAGAAATCACATCACGGGATTTCACATTAGCGATCTCAGGAGCAGACAGAATTGATTACGTTTAACACGGATTTTTACGGCAGCTTCAAAATGTCGTGATGGAGCAGCCATTTTCAAAATTCAGCAGCAGTAACAAGCCCTTATATGCAGTTGTCTTCAAAACGCTGCCCTTCAGCAACTACGCACTTCAAAGCAGTTTGAAACATTTCTGGAAGGCACCACACGCAGTGTCCAGTAACAGAATCTTCAAAGACACTTGAACCTCCATTGGTTCCTTGGAGTGGTCACCCTTCAGCGAGTCCTTTATCCACAGTACAAGATCTAAGAGTGGGGTTTGGGGAGGGTGCGCGCGAACAGTCTGAAGACGCTACTGCGCGAACAGCAACAAATGTGCTGAGGCACCCAATATCTCGTCATCCATATTTAAGAACGCTTCGGGGGAAACTGCCTCCCACATGTGAGCACATCCCAGCTGTCATGAGGCATCACGCCTCGCCAATTGAAAAATACTTCCGTCATCACCAATCCTTCCGAGAAAACCTGTCAGGATTACTAGGCTCTCAGTGTTGGTGGTGGTGGTGGTGACAGCCACTGGGATACTGGGAACCACCCGTTCTTCAAGTGCCTGAGCCCTGCGGGTCCCAACTTTTCGTTCGGTTGATCTATAGACATTCGGTAGGACTCCTTAGACGAGGGATCGGCCCGTCACACAGGACAGCACAACGCAGAAAGACGCGGACAGACATCCATGGCTTGAGTGGGATTCGAACCCACGGTCCCAGCGACCGAGCGGCACAAGGCCCACGCCTCAGACCGCCACACTGAGGATTATTATTTACTTTGGAGGTCACGCGTAAAAAATCCGGGATTTTCGAGGAAGTCTAGAACATCTTCAGCTGTGCTCATGAGCTCATCACATCAGCATTCTCGGCACAATGCGTTGGAATATGTGATGGAACTTCGGATAATTCTCGACAGGTGGCAGGTACCGACCAAAGTTCCTACTTCCTCAGCATTCTACACTATCTGGAGCGTCTGAAAGTCTTCCACTTCTGGTTTTCTCAATGACTGGAAAGCTTTACGTTTCATGAAATATGCACAGGGTACATTTTCTTGGACACAGATCACCAATCAAAATACCTTGAATTACTCACGAATCAATCCTACTCACAGAGCAGATGACGTCATTATCACCGACACACCTGAAACTTTGCTCACCTTCCTTACACAATCCCAGGCTGAGCAAGGATTCAGGCCCATCAGGTATAAGACTGTTCTTTGCCGATGAACCCAGCAATAAGCCATTTCTTCACTTTTTTAAACGTTTCTTCAACCAAGCTTCTGGACAGAACACGAGAATTATGCACGCCATTTTCCACACCCCTGGTAAATGCGACTAGGGCTGGCCACGCAAACATCCAAATTCCCATCTCAGCCACACGCGACCTGCAACAGGTAATACATATTCCTATAGCGCTCAGAATTCATCACAGACTGTGACAGGATGACGTGTATTCATCCACTGAAAAATATTGCAATGATCATGCAAAATCAAAATGTAATTTGACAACGATGCAAGTAAAATGTAAGAGACGAAAAAACCATAGCTTCATGGTATATGCCCAGGAGCTTTGGAAAAACTAGGTTCAAACCAGGTACCTCTGGAGGAATATCACAAAGTACAGCTGCTTCATTCCGTCTTTAAAAAAAAGACTGTCACTGTAAGCGGTCCCATAATGCAACAGCAAAGAACGAGTCATAATTTAAACAAAACCCACAGGACAGCAAAGCCACAACCGGCTTTGGGAAAGAGGATAGATAGTTCATATAACTCTCTGATAAAAATTAACGAGCTACGTAATCAATTCTACACCAGTGTGGCAACAGGGGTGTCCAGCAACTCGTGGCAAGGAGTGAGTGAGAGACATTTACACACACAGATGCTTGGAAATTCACACCACATCGAAAATTATTTCGAACAAACGTGAACATACCATGTTTTTTATATTTTTATTGCACGAGTCGTACTTTCGAAACGTCAAACATTCTGATAGGGGATTCGTATAAATTTGGGGGGCTGTGCTGAGACGTATCAGCATGAAATTCATGTGAATCCATAATTCCAAATTGAATCTAAATCCGTCGAGACCAACACATTTTGTTCGTTCATTTTATGACACGCGTTCTGAAATCCTCATTACACATTTTCCTTCGTGTCGGCTTATCAACTAAATATTCTCATCTGTTGCCAAAGCACTCCAATAATCAGCGGTTAAATACAAGCACGTCTGATTTGTAGAACCCCCTGGCGACTAGTTACTAGAACTACCAACACAACTTCGTTTGCCACTTGGCTCTGCTTCTGACGTCACTGTTCGCTGCCAGCAATAAGTGAAGGGCGATGCGCGACACGCTAATCGATTTCCTGTCCCAGTTGAATAGGCTGCAATGCACAACTTTACTGTCCTGTTCCTCTCCCCAAACCTTTTTCGATCTGTCCTCATCATGCACGGGCTATTGGATATTTTCATGAAAAGCTTCCAGACCCGGTGGCTTACAAAAACTTTCACACAGACGGCTTTATAAATTCATCCGCATCCATCACGTATGTTTTTGTTTTATTCATCACAACATCTTATAATTCATTAAAATGTAGTTTCGATCAAGGCCACTTTTCACTTGAAAGTACACACAGTGCGACGCGATTACGTTGGTCATCCACTGTCTACAGACACGACTTGTTCCCGTCCTCTCGCGATTGGTCGTTAGTACACGGATATTTAATTTCTGGCATCGATCTCGAATCATGGCGAGGTTCCGTTAATATTCCATATATGTCATAACTTCCGGTGGTACAAAGTATTTATTACCAGTAAAGTTTACATCAAATACCAACAAGTACGACGTTCTTCGGCCTGCTAGTAGTGAAACAGCAGACTTCCCAGGTCGAATACGTCACAGGGAATTTAATTTACAAGAACGGCGAGATAATACAAATTCAGGTTTCAACCCAAAATGTTTAAGATTA